AAAAATACGCAAGCCCATCCGGCAACTCTGAGAGAGGGGAACTGCGCGTGCAGCCCCGATCCATCAGTGAAGACAAACCCGCCGTCCAGGCGGATGGGAAGATCAACTCCTGTGCCTCGCAAGGCCCACATCGGGTCAAAGGCTGGACGACTCACCGCGGCACCTGGATCAGGGAAAACCCCTCTCGCGAATCTCTCCCGCCAAGCGGGAGGGGCCAGGCCAACCCGATTGGCAGCCCCGGCCAACTCGGCCGATATGTTGTCCCGACGCCATGCTTCGTGGCCGGGGCACTGGTAGCACCTATGATGGAGAGACCCGCGGGCTTCGCCACACAGCAGGCAAATTGGTGAGACTGTCGCGTCCTGATCGTGCAAGCGGCCCTGCGTCCAATGCGAGCCGGCAACCAGACCCCGTAGGGTTTTCTGCTGGTGTTTCCCCCAGCCCGGATCCCAATCGCAAAAAAGGCTCTCAAGCACTGGCCGCCAAAATATGGGGCCAGCCCAGCAATGCCGATCCTGCAACAAAAGCGCTCGAACGTCGGACGCCCGCCGCGCTGAAAAAGCAATCTGGTCGGCCAAGCAGGCCGGCGAATAGAACTTGAGATCCCACTCCCGGCCCCCGTCGTCCACCGCCAAACTGACCCCCCGAAATCTCCATCCCACGCGAGAGGCCGAAATAAGCATGGCGGAAACAGGATCCCGGCATGAGACCCATGGGCGAGACTTGGCCACTTGGTGCACTCCGTTACGGAAGAGAGTCTCAAGGACGCCCGCCGCGAGGAGGCCATCCCATAGAATCTCTCCATATTGCTTTACAGAATCAACAGTGGCGATGACCAGCGGGTCGCGGCGCCACCCCCGCCTCGAGCAGCTCAAAAAAAGTGCGGTCGAAGCGCCTCGGGGCAGCCGCCCCTCCGCATGGGCAGCCATCACTCGCAGCTGGTGCAGTCGTGTGTCCGCGACCCCATATACGCACGATCCCCAGAGCGCCACAGCTGTCGGGCCCGCTCTGTGCACCTGGTACACCTTAGCACCTCCTTTCTGCAAGAGCCTGAGCCTCAACGCGCGACTCCGTGCAGCGAGAAACCTATCAAGGTGAGTGGACACTCTGCGGTGCCGCCCGTCGGTGGCGTCCCCGCCCAAGTCTCTGTGGAACTGTGAGCGGGACGCCAGCTCCATGGGCCATTGCTCGCACAAGCTGCGTGCCAACTCGCTAGAGCTGGCGAGAAATCCGGCCTTATTCCAAGATATGGGCAAATCCTTGCTGCCGACTTGCTCCACGACGCGGTTGAAAGCCAGAGGCAATTGCTTGGACACAGTTTCCATGCCTCCAACCGCGTGGAATGAAACATCATCGATAACATTCTTCAAATACACAATCGGAGCAGCCGCCGCTGCCTCTCGAAGAATGGCTACGAGCAGCACTTTGGCTAGCGTCGTGGCGCACGAGCATCCCGCTATCGCAGTCCCGTTAGCCTCGAGAGGCCTGCTGGTGCACCCCTGGAGGACCGCGCGCCGAGGGGCCCGATAGACGCAACACAGAGCCCTCAGGAGGGTGTCCGGGAAACTAACGTGGGCCGCCGCGGCCCGGATTTCGCGGTGAGAGATGTTTTCATAAAACTTCTTTAAATCTAAAAATGCAGATCCTGATTCTAAATTGCGCAGCCGCGCAAAGGAGGACAATGCATTGTGTAGCCATGCGCTTTTGTCGCATGACGTGGCTCGGCTTTGGCCCCAGAAGAGGCTGGATCCCAGAGATTTTTCCCACCGAGCGCACTCCCGGTGCCGAATTTTGGACCACACCCGGGCCCACAGCGGAAGGAGCCCAATCGGCCTGACGCCGCCTGTGGGTTTGTCCAGGAAAACAACCAGCACGAGCCACAAAGAAGTTACCTGAGGATCATTCTCCCAGGAATTCAGAACGTCTGCGAAACGCTGTGCAAACTCCTCCGGGAGCTGCTTCAACAAACGGGGGTGGAGCCCATCCCACCCGAGGGCCGTGCCCTTGGCGAAGCCTGCAACGGCTGCGTGCACATCGGCGGCAGTGATTGGCGGCAGCTCAACACATACAGGCCAGGTCTGGGGGTGGTCTTCCGCACTGCGCGACTCTTTCGCCCAGATTGGGACCCACTCGTCCAGCAAGGCCTCCAAAGCTTCTTGGCCCGCCAGGGGCTGCTCCCCCTCCTCCACACAGCCGTGGAGCGGGACCGAGTCCGGTTTCGGGCCTTTCGAAAAACGATGCGCCACCCGCCCGCCCTTCAGCACAGACTCTTTCGCAAAATCCTGCCAGGACTGCCTGCTCGCCGCAGCGTCCGCTGCGAGGCGGCGGTCGCACTCAGCCGTCAGCGCAGCAAGCATCGCAGCGCGCGAACTATCTTGTTGCAAAGCCTGGGCCACTTCAAGGCAAGACTTGCCTTGTAGCTCCGGCTCTCCCGCCTGGCCCAGGCGAGAATCCAAAGAAACCATCAGCCCCACCAACCTCCCCCGCGCCACCCCGCCCCCGCCCGGAAGAGGAGAAGGGGGAGGGCAAGGAAGCGCAAGCAACTGGCAGGCGAGGCGGCGAAGCTGCAACCACGGCACCGTGGCCGGGGAAGATCTACGCTTTAAATCTTGCCCCCAAGAAGCTACCAAGGGGACATGCTGAAATCTACAGCCCCCCCTCCGCCCCGAGTGCCTGGGCTGGAGGGCCTCGGGGATCTCGTGAAGGCTACACAAGTACTGTTCGGCCTTGTCGAACCACTCCTCAGCAGCGCGCGTGGGAGTGGCCGGCCAGAAACCCGCCTCCCAACTCCAAGATAGAGCGGGACCCCGGAAAACCTGGCCCAAGGAGTTTCTGGGCACCTCGAGCCCGAAGCCCCCTGGAACGATTCGCTGCCACACCTTGGCTTTCCCCGAAAGCCCACGAAGCTCCATGCGCGTGGCAACGTGGGGCCCCCGAGGAGTGTCTAAGAGGGCCCTCGTCGAGTGCACGTAAGGGAGGAGGCACTGCGACAGAGCAAAAAAATCAAAAATCTTGCCATTGCAGGTCGGCTCAGACGGACCTACTAGCTGCAAACGATGCTTGGTCGCCCAACCCGCGCCCTGCAGCACAGGCAGGTCGATGTTCCAGTCGCCGCCGACGATGGATGGCCCGTCCAGGCACCCGAGCAACTCCGCAATCTCGCCCAAAATGTGCAAGTTCTGGTCGCCGAGCTCGTCGTTCGAAACCAAGGAGGAGGAGGAGGAGGAGGAGGAGGAGGAGGAGGAGGAGGAGGAGGAGGAGGAGGGGGAGGAGGGTCATTCTCTCTCTCTCTCTCTCTGTCTCCCTCGGCGAGAGTCTCGGCCACCGGTGAGGCTACCCGACCTGGAACCAAGGACAACTCGAACACCACAGGCCCTCCCGAGCCAAACATGTTCTCGTTCCAACGTCTTGGCTGTGCCGTTTTCCTGCTCCTCCTCCTCCTCCTCCTCCTCCTCTTCCTCCCTCCCCCCCTCTGAATGAAAGCTTTGGTGGAGAGAATTCGAGTGCGGGAGAGCATTCGAGATGGTCAATCCAGGGGATAGTTTTCGGGTGATATCAGAGGGTTTTTGCCTCTCTCAACATCCCCTCCCCGATTCTCATCCCAGTTTATTCTTGGCTGAGATTATTCAGTGCGGTGCACTCCCCCAATGGGCATTCCATCCATCCATCCTTTTCCTCCCTCCTCCTTCCTCCCTCCTCCTCACTCCTCTCTCCTCCCTCCTCCCTCCTCCCTTCTCCTCACTCCTCACTCCTGTCTCCTCTCTCCTCCTCCTCCTCCTCCTCCTCCTCCTCCTCCTCCTCTTCTTCCTGCATCCCTCCCTGCCTCCACTCCTCCCTCCATTCCTCCCCTCCCACGTCCACGTCTCCCTCCCCCATCCCCCACCATCCCTCGCCCATCCCCCACCATCCCTCGCACGTGGCCCCTCACTGCCACGCGTTGCATGTCATCTCCCCACTCGCTCAATCGCAGTCACGGGCCCCCCCCCACCCGAGGTTTTCTAGATGCCCTGACGCTTCCGTTGGGCCCAGACCACGGAAGCCACCATGATTGCCCAGCATCGCTTGACGATGTCAAAAGCCTCCCAAGAGGCTTCCACAGCATCACAAGGAAAGCCAGGAGGCTCTCGAGGAACGCCCTCATCGCTCAAACACGGGAGGACAACTTGAGAAGAAATGCCGTCAGGAGCCCAAGACAGCCCCAAGACAGCCCCAAGACGGCCCAGGTAGCCCCCATGAAAACAATTCAAATGATAGAAACGAGAGGTGTCACACATTACGGCCATGTGGACTGCTCGAAGCGTCGCTGCACTAAGTGCTGTGCTGGCACTGTGACGGGCCTTGCTGCAGGCAGCTGGGTACCAGCTGACGCTAAGCGTATTCACTGGCATGATGCTACCCGCAAGGCATCTAATGGGATATCGAGTAGATCCCCCCTGTGAGGAGGCACATCTTGCGTTCGCAGGTTTGCACGTAGCCACCTGGTGGATAGTGGCATGGGATCACAGAGATTACCTGAGTCTGCTTGTTTCCGGAAGACCTGCGTGGCCAAACTCGTGCCCACCGTATGCTAACGCTCTCCACTACACCAGCTCCCATGCGGCCCTTCTCTCGCGGTCAGCACCGCTGCTCATGGTACCCAGCATCATTCCCAGGTACATCCCTCTGAATGCCCCGCAACGTGGGCCTCCTCCTTCTGCAAGAGCAGATCCAAGGTGGGCTCTGCCTCCCCTATGAACGCAAATGGGGGGATGCATCTTAGCCGTGCGTCTTGCCGTGCAGCCTGCGCACGCGTAAACATGCACATCACTTGGCATACATCCCTCTCTCGGCGGCGCGCCCAAGGGGGAAGTGAGAAGGAGCAGGCCTTCTCAGAAGGCGGCGGGGCTTCTCAGAAACCCTCGCACCTTCTGCGGAGTTACTCGCGTCTTCGGGGAAAGGCCTTCGAGGCCTTCTGAGAAGGCCCACCCCTCCTCACGTGCCCCCCAGTCTCGCCGCCGACTCCCATTCCCCCTTTCCCGCCATCGTCTTCCTGAGAAATATAAGCCACGTCATGTTTCACACTACGACAGCATGCCCATTGCACCTGCCAGCCGCCCTTGCGGGGGGCGATCAGGCAGAGGGGCGCGGGCTTCAGCAGCTGAACACCTCAACTCCTCTGGGAGCTCAACAGCTTGGCAGAGCCTGATTGTCCAGTCAACCGTTTTCGGAGCACGGCTGCCCAGATCTCCAGAACGTGATGTTCCGAGGTTCAAAGGATGCCCGCGTCCGAAAACACACCTTCGCCTCGCCCCGAAGCACGTCATATGAGATGATAGGCCTTCTGGGAGACAGACAATGTACGATAGAGATGCGCTCTCAACGCCACGAGCCATTTGTACAAAATGGTCGGGTACAACTGCGAACGTAGCTGCTTGAGCCTCTGTGTTGCTGATGCTCCCCGATTGCCGCAGCTCGCGGCTGCTTGATGCTGCTCGCCAATGCCTGCTGCTGCTTGGTGATCGTCGCTGTTGCTTGCTGCTGCGTACAACTGGCTCTTGCCCTCATTAACTGCTCCTCCTCACTACTTACTACTCCTCGCTCCGCGCCCCTCCTCCTCCTGTGCGCTCCTCGTCTCATCATTCTTCCTCGTTCTCCTCGGTGCTACTCAGTGTCAAACAGGCTCGAGTCGTAACAAACACAGCAAGCACCCGCTCATCGCCATTCGAAACATGGGGTCGAAGGCGGTAGATATGGTAAAACTCGTCACAGTTCTGCTCCATCGCCCTCGTCCTCCTCCTCCTCCTCCTCCTCCTCTGCCTCATCCTCGCTCCTCCTCCTCCTCCTCGCCCCTCCTCCTCCTCCTCCTCCTCGTCCTCGTCCTCCTCCACCTCCTCCCGTATCCTCCCCGCTTCTCGCTTCTCGCGTCTCGCCCCTTGCTTCTCGCTCGTCCTCCTCCTCGCTCCTTCTCCTCCTCGCTCCTTCTCCTCCTCGCTCCTTGTCCTCCTCGCTCCTCCTCCGCCTCCTCCTCCTCCTCCTTCTCGCTCCTCCTCCTCCCCCTCCTCGCCCGTCCAAAAAACAACTTGAGAGCACATAGGTTGCGTGGGCCTGCCTTCGTGCCAACCCACCTGACCGTTCTAGCCAGCTGGCCACCTGTTGGCGCCTACTATGCCACGCATGCCTCGGGCGACTGGTCGGGTGAAGACACTGTTTTTATCACGCAGCATCGCCGGTTTCGAAATCCCTCCGAGGCGTCCTGGAACAGGTTCGAGGCATACTGGGGTTTTATGCTGGCTCTCTTGGGGCCATCCTGGAGCCCACTCGAGCACGGATCGGCCCTACTTGAAGAAACACAGGCCAGCTTTGAGAAACAACTCCCTTGAAGCCTCCATTATGAGAGGACCTCTCACGCGAATCTGCAGTTTGACGAATCTTGGGAAGCATTATGCGGTCTCCCCCTCAAGCTCCTTCTCTCTGAAACCCAATCCAACTGAGAATGACTCAACGAGGGTTTGGTTCGGATATTGGTGAAGGGGCCCTGAGACACACAAATAAATACACACGCAAATACAAGGGTCCCCCATATTTTCCCATGTTTTCGGGTTTTTTGTCTTCCCCCCCACTTCCCATATTTTCCCATATGTTTTCTGGGGAATCGACGATTCACTGTGTCTGTGTGATCTTTCCCCTCCTGAATTTGGGGGGCGCGTCTCTCCCCCGGACTCCCCTCTCTCATAACGTTACGCCGAAGCGGTGAATCACTTCACGACGCCCTTCCGACAACGGCTCCGCGCTCCCGAGGCCAAGCTCCCGCACGACAGGCTATGGATCCGCGATCCCGAAGCCAGCATCAGATGTGCAACTCACGACAAGCTATGGATCCGCGATCCCCAAGCCAGAACCAAACTTGCAGAACCACTGATCCGCGCTTCCGAGGCCACGCCCACGCCACGGCAAACCGTGGGTCCGCGACCCCAAAGCCCCGCCCCCTCGTGGGAACTGTGGGAGCCGCGCTCCCCGGGCCCCGACCCCTCGTATAGAAATCATGGACCCGGGCTCCCGAGGCTACACCCTGCGAAATGCTCAAGAGATCATGGGTTCAGAAATTCATAGTCTCAGAAATGGAATAAAACCCAGAACTTCTGTCAAAACCTTGGGATTCACATCGCAAAGGTAAGGATCATCGAGACCCTGGGCGAAAACGTAGGTTTTCTTAGGCATCGCCCAGGGTGTACGATCCAATGTGTGACAACCTGTGCATCCGCGCTCCCGAGGCCACGGCCCCCGAAGCTTGGGCGCCCGAGTTATCCGGGGTACCTCCGGTCTGGGGTAACTCGGGTCTGGGTTCCCGAAAAAGGAACCCGAGTTAGCCCTGACCCGAGTCACCCCTGATGATGTGGGGCTCTTGGGCGCCGCGTAATGGGGGGGTCACAAATGGGGGGGTCAGAAAAGGTCACCTTTCGTGCCCCTTTCGGGCCCCTCCAGAGCCCCAGGGGGGTCGTTTAGGTACCGTTTGGGTACCTTTTCGGACCACGCTCGTCTGGACGCCCGAATTATCCGGGGTAACTCGGGTCCGGGGTGACTCGGGTTCGGATTCCCGAAAAAGGAACCCGAGTTAACCCTGACCCGAGTCACCCCTGATGATTCGGGGCTCTGAGAAGCTACGATCCCCGGTACAACAACGCAACGGGTCCGCTCCTCCGACTGGCCAGCCACCCAAACCACCTTTCCGACCAGCAGGCCACGCCGGCTCCCCGGCCCACCAGCAAGCCACAGGCACGGATCTGCCAGCCGCCAATGCGGGCAGCCAGCCAGCCGGCCGATGTGCCAGCCGCTGCCAGCCTACACCCTGCGAAATGCTTTAGAAATCATGGGTTAAGAAATTCATAGTCTCAAAATTTGAATAAAAACCCAGAATGTCTATTCAAATCTTGGGATTGACATTGAAACATTAAGAATAATCGAGACTCTGGCCGAAAACTTGGGTTTTCTTAAGCATCGCCTAGAGTGTACCAACCAATCAGCCAGCCGACTAGGCAAACTGGTGGACCGAATCCCGCAGACAAGCAGAAGGGAATGGGGCCGGCGGCAGAGGGCGACGCCCTGCATGGTAACACCGCGCTCGCACGCGGGCAGAAGCACGTGCAGTGCCCACAAACGCATGCAGGCGGAGGAGCCCTAGTGCAAGCGAGACCACTTTCTTGAGAACCCCCCCGATCTCTACGTGGCACAAACAGAGGCTCCTGGCCGACATGCCCCACCCCCCCTCAGAATCGTTGTCCGCGCCCTCAACCTGCTCCCCGTCCTCATCGTCCTTCTCACCCACGCCTTCCTCGACCTCACCCTCCTCGAGATGTCCCGCATCGTACTCTTTTGTCGGGCGTGTCCCCCTACAGGGGAATTTTCGATGAAAACTAAAACACATCCCCAAAATACCCCAAAAAGGTCAAGAATACTCAAAAGATAGTCCCCAGACTGTTTTTGGATTTGTTTGTGACTATTTTTGGGGTATCTTTTATTTTTCGTCGAAAATCCCCCTGTATGGGGGACAGGCCCGACTTCATCGTACTCCTCGTCCTCGCCCTCCACACCTCCATGCCCATCCCCTTCCTCTGCGTCCATCCCCGCCGCCCGTCGCTGCACCCCTCGGCATGGTGGGGCGCGCGCTTCCTGGTGGAGCTGTTATTCCGTGTCTTCTAATGCTGGTACATATTTGGCGGCGCGCGAAGAGAGGATGTGAGACGGGGCAGGCATTCTCAGAAGGCGGCGGGGCTCCTCAGAGGCCCTCGGACCTCCTGATCTGAGCCGTCCTCTGTTAGGGGAACGAACGATGACACGAACATGAAAACTCCGAGGTCCGCGCGGACTTCTCGGATCGGCGCTGGACCCCCCTCCTTGGCGCGCGGAGCGCGCCAGGAGCGGCGCCGGAGGCGCAAGACCTGCAGAGACTTCCCCAAGACAGTTCAATCGAGCCTTTTCGGGAGAACCCTGTGGAACCATTGCGTGCGTGACTGCCCCGAGACCACCGACGTGCACTCAACGGGCCCGAGAAGCGCCCAACACGCTCTCAAGAGAGCCCAGAAGGGCCTCCAGGACACGCCTTCAAGAAAGACAAGGAGCACGATGGAACAGAGGCAAGAAAAAGGAAGCTGCGGACTAGGAGGGGGTGTCCAAGATCCGCGCAAGTTCAAGCAAGCCGCCGCCCTGGAGCGGGTCTCCGACTCAACCTCCATCCTTCGGGGGCGCGCAAACATGGATTAGCGATCCATGGATTCGGCGCGCGGTCGCCAAATCCATGGATCGGGGGAGGTGCCCTCCCCAAAATGCGGCCAATGCCGCCTCGTTCGGCGACGGATATCCACGATTTCCCATGGAAGCGGGAACCGTCGCTAATCCACGCCCCCTTGATCAATGTTCGCGATCGCCTGCCAGGAGGGGGTGTCCAAGATCCGCGCAAGATCAAGCAAGCCGCCTCCCTGGAGCGGGTCTCCGACTCGACCTCCATCTTGCTGCCCTGCTGCGCTGGCACCGTGGCGGGGCTAGGCAGGCAGCCCGACCTCCTCGCTGCCAGCTTTTCGCGCTCCCCCTCCCGTTCCTCTCCTCGACTCGTCCCCGCCCGCGCGCCCGAACTCCTGGGGGTGTGGCTCCGGGCTGTCCGACATGATCCGCAGCACGCGCAGGGGCACCTGGCGCAGTGCCGTGCGAGGGGCACGGGGCGGCGAACTGCCAACGACGGAAGCGCAGGTCGATCGGATCGAGGGCGGCCCCGAGGATCCGCTCGATCGGAAGGAAGGTCGCGCCCGGAAGGAGGGGAGGTCGTTGACGGCGGAAGCGTGGGAGGATCAGGTCGGGGGCGGGAGAGATGAACCGCGCCGCCTCAGCAGGGAGCCGGGCTTTGCTCCTGATGCCACTGCGGCGGCGCGCAGCGACGCTGCGCCCAGGTGAGCAAGTCGGCGCAGGTCGAGGACAAGGAGGGGGAAGAGGATGGGGGATGATGGAGCAGGAGATGCGGGACGGGACGGATGGGAACGCTGCAGAAGCAGGGTGGGGCCCACGAGGAAATTCGGGAGCAGTAAAAAATATCAGCGCGATGGATTGAACGCGAATTGACGAATTGAAAAAGAAACTGGGGGTAAGAGTTCGGAAGGAGGTGGCGTGTTGAGAAAAAGCCAAGGATCGGTATGGAAGAAGACTGGAGGTTAAGAGGTGAGGAGGGATGAACATCGTTTGACAGACATCTATCCCCATGGGCGTGGCCTGGGCCCCACTGGCCGATTTGCCCCCCTAGATGGGGATATAGTGTGTCTCCTTCGGGTTTCGAGGGGTATATCCCCAGCTGGGGATGGGAATAAGGGTCGGGTTAGCAATACTTAGAGGCAGTGACGACCGACGGAGCGATGAAACTCGAAGGGAGCGAGTGGAGGAGACATAGGAGGATGAGGAGGAGTAGGAGGAGGGGGAGGAAGAGGAAGAGGAGAAAGAGAGGGGAGAGAAAGAAACGGAACAGGAAGGCAAATGGGAATCTCCGGCTGGAGGTGACCCGCCGACGCGGAGCCTGCGCCAGCTGCGTCTTGAGCTCCTTACCGTCCACGAGGAAGAGCCCTGCGGGCGGCCATTTTGATGCTGTCGTACTGGTCGAGTACGTGCTGCTGCAGAGCGATGTTGACAAGCCGTCTCATCCTCACTGTCTCATTATATTTGTCAAATTGATCCTGCGACATCATCCCCTGTACGATCAAGAACATTTTTTCCACTGCAAGAAAGCAGAGGAGAAGGAGGAGTCCGCTGCCCCTCAAGAGGGCTATATCCGAAGCGCACCCCGAAGAAAGTCGAAAGCCAAAGCCGGCTCCGCGCAAACGGAACCAGCACAAATCACGCCCTATCGAGTCCGAACATCTGTCCGGCGGACGTGGCCGAAACTCGGGACACCGATTCGGAGGGGAGGGGAGGAGGAGGAGGCGAGGAAAATGACGGGGGAAAGGCTGATACGAAAATGGCCCAGAATTATATCATCTGCCACCGGTGCGCTAAAAGTCTGGCACCTGCCAGAAGTAAAAAAAGCACTGGCAGAAGGCAAAAGGGAGAACGGGCAATAGTACAGATGTATTGGCCTCGGCGGTCATCGCTCGACTGCCTGTCAGTCAGGGCGCTCACATGACCACTGCAGCGCAGGCGCAGAGCAATAGGGTACACGGTTTCGACTCCGAGGAAGTGGAAGCAGAGAAGAGAGGGGGGAAGACCAAAGGTATTGAACGGGGAGCATGAATGGTCACGCTCCCAAGCGAAGTGAGCATAGCCACGACGCGAGAACCAGAGGTAACGATAATTATGACAGCAGCCAAGCAACGAACAACATGCAAAGGACCGGTACGATCAAGAACATTATCGTCTTGGCTGCATCATGTTGCCACTTCTTCTGCGCCCTCCTCCTGCTCTTCCTCGTCCTCATCTGCCGCATTCTCGTCCTGCTGTCTGTCTCCATTATCATGGTGCTCTTCCCTCTCCTCCTCCTCATCCTCCTCCGCATCCCCCGATCCTTCGACCTGGTATCATCATCGTCATCCACCTCATCATGTCATTGAACTATTGCCACATACACGAAAACCATTGACGCTATCAATGCCACATGTTTTTGGCAGTTGTTTACAAGACCAACGGACATGTTAGTGCTAGTCGCACTATGGATACCCCAAGCGATGTTGGCAGTGCTGGTGGCAGTTGTATTTAGTGGAGAGACGTAGTGCTTTAGCCAGCACGCAATACTCAGTGGGCGCTCGCACGTTGAATGGTACATCGTAGCATGTGGCTCGGAAGACGTACGTTGCTGATCGTATCAACTATCCAGTGTGCCGGCAAGTAGCGTCGCGCATTAAGCCGCGCAGCGCACGGCCCCGGCCCTCCGGAGGGGCGTAGGGGGGTGGGGCATTGGCGTGCCTGCCCGCGGCCGCTCAGCTTGCGCCGAACAGCCGCACGTCCCGGCTGTCCACCCGTGCAAGGTATTCCTCTGCACGGTCTACCCCAGTGCGTTTTCCCGACCGTCACCATTCGGTCTTTCACCCAGTGTGTCTGTCTGGATTATGTTGCTGTCTGAGCCTTTGGGCCTCTCTTCAGTTTCGGTCCTTTGTGCCCGTTCAAGTGCGGCCGCTTCACTTCTGCCACTCCAAGGTATTTCTCTTTGTGGTCTTCGGCTCCGTCTCGATGAGTCGCGACTCAAACGCCTGCGCCATTCCGTCCGTCTCGCCCTGCTGCCAGTCTCATCGGCCTGACTACCTACCAGACCACCCCAACCCAACCCGAAGACCCGAATTTGACCCGAATTTTGGGTTGGGGGGGGTACGGGTTCCATGTGTTTTTTCAACGTTCCCCAACCCCCCCCCCACTGGAAATGGAGGGGAAATTGAGGCCTTCGGGTTGGGGTTGGGGTGGTTTGGTAGGTGGTGATCGGCCCTCTCCGTCCTGGGCCCTGCACCACTTCAAGGTCTTCCACCTCAAGCCGGCCCTGGCCCCCGCTGCTTGTGCGCAGCTCACGTGCAGGTTCTGCTGCAGCATCCCCGCGACAGCTTTCATGGTCTGAGCGGGCTCCTTCTTGTCTCTTCTCGCTGTCGTGCCTCAACTCGCCTCTGGTGCACCCCACCGCGTGCTGACCAGCGCCTGACTGTCTTGGACCACTTGGCGCGGCATCGGATCGGGAAATCGGATCCGATCGATAATGTGCATTGGATCGGGCCGGGCCAGCACGGAGTCGGAATCGAACCAGACCGGGTGCAATCAAGATGCGCAACAACGCCGTGGAAATGCCGGGCCATCTGGTCGGATCGTCGGGATGCCAGAACCACCTCGGCTCCGGGGAACCCAGAACATATACATACCGACACCGCCACTCCCAAGACCAGAACCTCGGGGCGAATCCCACCAGCGGCGACGAAGCCCTCCCGGGAGGCCCAACACAAGCGAAAAACTCGGGTCGGGCGAAAGGGGGGGATAGCCAAGGGGGGGGTCTGAAAATCAGCTCGCGTAGCTGATTTTCCTGGCGCCTCCTGGCGCCGGAGGCGGCTATGTATCGAGGAACGGGCCCCTCGGTGAGGCCGAAACCAGCTGCATGCAGCAAATTTCGTACCCCCCCTTTCCCAATCCCCCCCTTTCGCCCGGCCCGAAAAGCACGAGGGAAGGGCAGCGGTGTCGGTGCCTTCTCCTCCTCCGAGTGCGGGACAACTCGGGGCCCGCAGGCTGCTCCCCGCGCCAAGCTCTTCGCGCCCCCTCCCCCCCCCGTAACCAGCCTCGAGCTTGTCCCTATCTCTAAGATGGGAGAGCAAAAAGCGAGGACAATCTCAGGGATAGGCCCTCAGAAACTGAGGGAATCCGTAAGACCGGCATCGAGGCGAGGTGATGTCAAACATAGGGATAGGGATCTGTTTCAACCTGGTACCCCCCCGCAAGGTCGTCGCGCGGCCAGCGCTGTAGTGCGACCGCAGGGCGTCGATGTCCTGGGGGGGAGGACAGGAGGGTGAGGAGAGGCAAAATGGGCCTGCGCGGGCTGCTTCGATCCGCGCGGGACCCCCTCCCCAGCGCGAGCATGCACGGACTCGGGAGCCCACAGAAGACGTGCGCGCCCAGCTATGTACATGAACACGGCCCCTCGATCCGCGAGACCGGCCGCGTGATACGAACATTCGCGCCATGCGTATTCCCGAAACCAGCGTGGATTCATGGACGTGTACGTCCTTCTTTCGCTCCTGACATATTGCATGGACCGTGGCCAAGATCGAACGAACGAACGAAGCAGCCATACGCCAAGCGCGCGTGGGCAAGACAAGGTGGCGAGCGTGCTGGCGACGCCAGATGCGTCGTCTGGCGGACAGGAAACGCACCGAACGCGCGACAAGACAACGACGACGCCCCAAATGCGCGCTGGGAGGACCGTGACCATAACCGGTGTCGACAAAATCCCGGGGCATCTTGGTCATGGTCATCGCATGTCTCTCCTCTGAAATTAGGACCAATCGGACTGGCCAGCTCGAGCAAGCCGGCAAGCCCCGCCTACTCCCCCGCCCTCCCTGCCGAAGCACAAGAAATATTCTCATCACCCATACAGGAGCAGCAGGAGGAGGAGGAGGAGGGGCAGGAGGACGAGGAGGAGGGGGAGGGAGGGGAAGGAGGAGGAGGGACGAGCTCCTCTTCCCCGCCCAGAGCTCAGCACTGAAGGGAGGGTACGGAAGAGCCCACAGTGGTCCTCCTCCTGCTCCTCCTCCTGCTCCTCCTCCTCTTCCTCCTCCTCCTGGCGCGCGATGGTACTGACTGATGGGTGGAAGGCACTCGCGAACGGCCCGCTCCCGAAGACCCTGCTCCCATCGGGGCCACGCCTGAGATGCCACCGAGTGCCATCGGACCGGGGGGATCGGCGACGTGCTCTGCCGCAGGACCGTCCTCGCCCATGCCCCCCGCGTGAAGCAGCCACGCCGCAGCCGCGGAGGAGAAGGGGGGGGGCGGGGAGAGGAGGGGAGAACGAGATGAAGGAGCCCTGGGACACCAATCAGTAGACATTAGCAACAGGATTCCCAATCTGTTTCCCATATTTCCTGGGCTTTTTGTCTCCCCCCCCCCCTTCCCATATTTTCGCATGTTTTCTCCGGGGGATCGACGATTCATTGTCTCTGTGTGTGTGTTGTTTTCCCTCCTGGCGAAACAAGAGCCGGGCGAGCTTAAAACCAACCCCGCTTCCAACGACTGGGCGCAAGAGGGGGCGTGCCGCGCCCGAGCGGGGTCGCAGCAGCCCTCGCGCCGGAGAGTTCGGGCTCTGCGGCTCCGTGCGCAGCACACGAGTTCCAGCTCGGGTGGTCTGGCAGCGCTTGCTTTGAAGAGGCCCTGGGACAAACAAATAAATACACACGAATAACCGGCTTCCCCATGTGTTCCCGTATTTTCTGGGCGTTTGTCTTCCCCCCCGCTTCCCATGTTTTCCCAGATTTTCTGGGGAATCGTGATGTTTTTCCTCTTGGAAAACCCCTCGTCCCTTCGGGAAGGAGTACGTTTCCTCTCCCCTCTCTCAGGTTTTTGGGGGCGGGCCGCGATGTGTCAGGGGGTCCTGTTTCGCCCTGGATAGCTCCAGAAGGGCGTCCGACACTCCGAGATGTCCTCCAAAATGGCTCAAGGTAACCGAAAACGGCTCAAAATCGCTTCCGACATACAAATATATATATATATATATATATATATATATATATGTATATTATATATATATATATATATATATATATATATATATATTCTTGCGGAGTCGGCGCGCGCAAAGGTTTTCGACACCGCGTCGATCGTTCAACCTTGAATCGATCGCGGCCCCGATCGTTCAAGGATAAATTCCGTCGGGTCCAGGAGGTGTCACCGTGTCCCTCGGTGCTTCCGCGTCGCAGAATCCAACCTTGAGAGCCCTCGCCGTATGAACCTACCGTACCTCCAAGAATCCCGACGAGGACCACAAGACGGTTCCAACTGCTCTCGGAACCCTGTCAGGACCCCCCAAGAAGACCCAATCCATCAAAAACCTAAACTGTCAATGATTTGTGTCTTCTGGCCTTCTCGCTTGCGATGCGCTTTGAGTCTCGGCGCGGCCCCAAAATGGCCCAAGATATGCCCGAGACGGCCACAGGGGCGCGGCCCAGGAGGGCCTCAAGAGGCGATGTTGATGGCTCCCAGGGGGGGCGGAAATCCCCCCCCCCTCCTTTTGATCGACGACCTCCAAGATGTCTCCACAGGGCCTGACAGGGCTCCCAAGGAGGCCCCAAAAGAGCCCCACGAGGGCCCCGAGAGGACCCCAAAACGGTCCCAAGACGGCCCCGAAAGCGCCCAACAGCGCCACACGAGCATCCCACGAGGGCCCCAAGATGCGGGTTGCCTCTTCCAATTATTTTTCCTCCTTTTCCTCCTCGTCGTCGTCTTCCTCCTCCTCATTATCATCAAAACCACCATCATCGTCATCACCATCCATCCATCCATCATCATATCCTCAACATCATCGCGTCGTCGTCGTCATCACCACCACCGCCACAATCATCAACAGTATCATCGTCATTCGCCACCAGCACCATCGCCATCAACATCACCGTCATCAGCCGCGTCAGCATCAGCATCGCCATCCTCAGCATCGTCGTCAGCATCAGCATCAGCATCAGCATCAGCATCAGCATCAGCATCGTCATCATCACTTCTAAGGCCAGCCAGCATCATGATCATCAAAATCAGCATCAACAGCGTCAGCATAATCATCACATCAGCATTATCATATTCAGCAGCACCAGCCACCATCATCAACATCAGCATCGCCAACACCATCATCAACACTGTCACCAGTACCAACATCATCACAGCCAACAAAACCATCACAATCACCACCATGATCATCCCAAGCTCAACTCAATATCTACCAACCAACCAGGATGTCTAAAACACCGAGACCCCGCGAGGACAATCTCGAGGGCAGCGGCCCGACAGGCCGCCAACATCTCCGAGAAGCACGTGCTGTCTGAAACCAGCCGCGAGCTTAAAACTCGATCCGCTGCGGTTGCGGCGAGGACGACTAGGGGTCGAGCGGCCGAGATCCGTCAAAACGCACAGGATCACGTGCAAGGGCAAACCATCCCAATGCCCCAACTCTATTTCAGCCAGACAGCCAGGATGCCTAAGACGTCGAACCTCCGCGAGCACAATATCGAGGGCAACGGCCCGACAGGACGCCAAAATCTTCGATGAGCACCTGCAAACTCTGTTGGCACCAAGCAGCAGGCTGGCCAGAGCCGAATAACCGCTCACTGCGTGAAGCGCCCAGAAGAGCACCCGATATACCTGGCCCCGGAAATTTAGAGCGCACCAGCAAAGGCAGCGCGCGACCGCGCTGGATGGGGTTCAGCGGCCCGCGTGTAGAAGTTGCCAGAAGGGTCTTTACCATGGACCCGCTGGCGAGCCCGCTCAATCAGACTACATGCGCCCCGCTTGCTTCCCATGCATCTCGCGGCCTCGAGCTCGGCGAGGTCAAGACCACAGGAGAAGAAAAAAGGCACCCTTCTTCACAGGAGCGCAACGCAGACAGAAATCGGCGGCGATGGCCGAGACGCCCCGAGCTCGGCACAAACGTCGCATAGCAAGGCAGGTCCACGAGCTGCTCCGCCCCCCTTGTTGGTTATCGGCGACCCCCCCCCGGAAAATACCAAATAATGGCCCCTGAAGACGATGGTCTTCAGAGGGGGGACCTGGGGCACATTTGGCCTTTCAAGCTGTAGTGAGAGGGGGAGATGAACAACTGGTGGCCTGGGCGAATACAGCAATGACGAGGGAATGGCGAGGAGAAGCGCACTTCATTTCCAATCGCGGCCCGCCCCAAGGGGCCACTCTGCGTTTTCGCGGGCGCGTAGCCCCGCGACAGGGCGAACAGCGACGGCTGTCCACGCGGCCGCTGCAAAAAGCTTCAAAAGCACGCAGCGGCCCCCTGACCCCGTCACCGACGACCATGCAATCCCCTGTTCAGCCCCTTAAACATCCACCCCAGCACGCTGTTGAACGCAAGGATGCCGAATCAAGGGTTCCTAGTTTCGCGCTTCGCGCTGCGCGAAGCGCGAATAACTATGCGCTTTCGCGCCCCCCCCTGGGCCCTGGGACAAGACGAGGGGCTCGCGAAGCGCGGGGCGCGAATATCTTCGAGCCTTTCGCGCTTCCCCCGGGGGACAAGACAAGGGCGCGGGGCGATGGAAGAGTCCGAGGCCCGCAAGGCATGCAGAGGATGAGGACTGAAATGGACGTGGGGACAGGACGACGAGGGAGGATTGCCGGCCCTCGAAGTTGGGAATGCTTTTCGTGCGGAGCCCAATGATTTCTGATAAGATTTTCGTAAAATTAGGAGAAGGCTTTCGAGCGGAGACCATCAAATTCGGAATAGGTTTCGCGCGGAGCCCCAGGAGTCTTGACGTGGTTTTCGTAGGGCGCCCAGTTGGTTAGGATAAAGTTTTGGCACCAGACTTCCGATGAGATCTTCTCGCAGGCCCCAAGAAATTCGGACTGGGTTTTCGAGCGGCGCCCATGGAGTTCGGATATGGTTTTCGCACGGGGGCCAGTGAGTTAGGACAAGGATAGATCTTCGTCCGGGGGGGGGGGCGAGAGTTAAATTAAATTTTCGGGCGGTTCGCAAGGACAACCGATTTGGATTTCGCGCGGAGCCCATGGAGTCCGGGCGCGGTTTTCACGGGGGGGGGGTCAGTGGGTTAGGATGAGGTTTTCGTGGGGGGGGGAGGGGGCTGGGATTTGAGATAAGCTTTTCGGGCGGGGCCCAAGGAATGCAGAATAGGGTTTCGCGCGGAGCCCATGGGGTTCGGATGTGGTTTTCGCATGGCGGCAAGTGGGTTATGATAAGGTTTTCGCAGGGGGGGGCGGGAGTCAGGATATGGCTTTCGCGCGGAGCCCAAAGAATTAGGATCAGGTTTTCGCGCGGAGCCCATGGAGTTCGGAAATGGTTTTCGCAGGAGGGCAATGAGATAGGAATTAGGATGAGGCTTTCGCGCGGAGCCCAAGGAAATAGGACATGGGATTAGGTTTTCGCGCGGAGCCCATGGAGTTCGGATATGATTTTCGCAGGGGGGGCAGTGGGCCAGTGGGTTAAGATTTGCGTGTGTGTGTGTGCGCGCGTGTGTGTGGGGGGGGTGGGGGGGCCGGGGGGGGGGCAAGGAATTTCGAATAGGTCTTCGCGCGGAGATCACGGAGTTCGGACATGGTTTTCGCGGGGCGGCCAGCTGGTTGGGATAAGGTTTTCGTTGGGGGGCCCGGAGTTGGCGCGGGGCCCAAGGAATCGGAATTCGGTTTAGGTTTTCGCGCGGAGCCTATGGAGTTCGGATATGGTTTTCGCAAGGGGGGGGGGGGCAGTGAGATACTATAAGGATTTCGTAGGGGGGCTGGGAATCAGGATAAGGTTTCCGGGCGGAGCCCAAGGAATTGGGATTAGGTTTTGGCGCGGGGCCCATGGAGTTCAGATATGGTTTTCGCAGGGGGCCCGCCCGATTGGATAAGGACTTCGTAGGGGGGGCTGGGAGTAGGATAAGGTTTCCGGGCGGAGCCCTTGGAATTCGGATTCGGTTCCGCGCGGGGCACATGGCACATGGAATTCGCAAGCTTTCTGGCGGAGACCCGGGCGTTCCAGCTAGGTCTTCGCGCGGGGCCCATGCATTTCAAATGTGGTTTTCGTCGAGAGGGGGGGGGCAGTTAGGATAAGGTTTTCATGGGTGCGTGTGTGTGTGTGTGCGTGTAGTCGGATTAGGTTTTCGCGCGGAGCCCATGGTGTTCGGACGTGGATTTTGCAGGAACCCAGTTGGTTAATATAAGGTTTTCGTTGGGGGGCCTGGAGTTACACTGGAGTTAGGATAAGGTTTTCGCGCGGAGCCCTGGAGTTCGGATCCGGTTTTCGCAGGGGGGGCCAGCGACCAGCGAGTTTGGATATGGTTTTCGTAGGGGGGCCGGGCGCTAGGATAGGGCATTCGGGAAAATGCCTAAGGAATTCGGAATATATTTTCGCGCGGAACCCATGGAATTCGGATGCGCGTTATCGTGTTGGGACCGATGAATTCGGATAAGGTTCCGTGGGAGTAGGGGGGGCCGGGAATTTGGATAAGGCTTTCGCGCGGGGCCCTCGGAATTCGGACTAGGTTTTCGCGCGGAGCGAATGCAGTTCGGATGTGTGTGTTTTTTGTTTGGGGGGGGGGTCAATGAGTTAGGGCAGCGGTTTTCGTAGAGTTGCGATAATTTCGCGCGGGGCCCGAGAAAAAACTGATTAGGTGTTTCGCGATGTGAAATGATGCAAGGCAATGCGAGGCAACTCAAAGCAACGCAGCGCAATGCACGACACGTCGCAACGCTATTAGGGTTCCGCGCGAAAGCCTAATCCGAATTCCGTGGTCTCCGCTCGAAAACCTTATCCTAACCCCTGGCCCCCCCCTCCGAAAACCTTAACCGAACTCACTGGCCCCCTGCGAAAAACTCATCCAAACTCTACGGGCCCCGCGCGAAGCGCGAGCAACTTCGCGCCTCGCGCTGGCGTCGCCCAGACCGCGAAGCCCGCGATGCAATCCCTCACTGGCCCAGCCCCAAGGATGCGAGGCGCGTCTTCGCTCTGGAAACCGTCGTAGGCTCAGACCGCGAAGCGCGAATAAGCTCGCGCTTCGCTCTGACGTCGCCCAGGCCGCGAAGCACGAATAACTTCGCACCCTCGAGGGAGCCCTTGCACATGGTGAGCCGCGTATGCGTCGGCGCCCACGCGCGCCCCTAAGGCGTCCATGACGCCCAATCGGCTTCCAAGACGGACCCAGGAAGCCACCGAGGCCGCAAGACGGCCCAAGACGCCTCAAGATGGCCTCAGGACGGTCGGAGAAGCCTCCAGGACGACCCAAGGAGGGCTCCAAGGCACCCTCCAAGGCGAAGGCCGAAGAGGCACGAATCATGAATGATCGCAGAAGCGCACCTCCAGTTGGCTCATGACGAGATCCCGAGAGGCCTCCAAGAGGACCCCAACAGCCTGAGGGGGCCCCCGGAGATCCCAGGTCCCACGATGGACGCAAGAGCGCCTCAGGAGGGACCCAAGACGGCCTAAGAGGACACTGGGCCCCTGACCTTGCAGACCCCCTTCCAGACGGTCGCGAAGGCCAGGGCCCAAGACCGCCCGACGTCAATCCCAGAGCCCAGAAGCCCCCGCGCTCAAGACGGCCCAACGACGGACCAAACGGAATCTACGCGCCGCGTGGCCCCTGCAGAAATGAAGGCGAAAGGAGCCCCATGTGGCGGCGTCCTTCTTCGCCGCCGCCCCCTCCCCCTCCCCCGTCGTCATCGCCGCCGTCTTCGACCATGTCCTCCTCCATCCTCTTGATCACCGACTCGAATCGCTGCGCCCATCATCGTCGCCATCCAGGTGTCCACCCACCCCCGCCCTCTGCAAGTCAGCATCAGCATCCTCGCCATCGCCCTCGTCCTCGCCACCGTCCAACATCGACGTGGAATGCGAACGATGCAACAGAATCCGAACCCCTCCCATCCCCCTCTGTCAAAGCGTTCTGCCCGGCGCCGGCGCAGAATCGCAGATGCGCTGCGCCGCCGCCCGACCCAAGCGGCGTCGCGGAACCCGCGGGCTGGGGGCCAGGGGCCAGGCGCCGCCGCTCAGGCGGCCCCCCCGCCCTCGCCCTCCCTCGCCATCCGCTGCAGGATCCACCGCCCCCAAATGGAGGAGCGAGCTGGCCACCCCCCCACCCCCTTCCCTCCCTGGGGGGCGGGGAGCGGGGAGGTAGACGACGAGACCAACAACGACGACGGCAGCGACAACGACGACGCCGAGCAGGGGGAAGGTGGCGGAATGGGGAGGGGCCGGGAATGAAGTCGAGATGGTCGAATGCGAATGCAGGGGAGGTGCGTCAAGTGGGCGGGCGAGGAGATAGGCACGAGGAAGAGGGAGGGCCAGAGGGAGGGATGATCCGGATTGGGAGAAGGGGGGAAGAATTGGATGAGGATATCGGTGTGGGATGAAGGCCGGAGGAGGGGGGGTGCCGCGGAAAGACGCCAGCCTCTGCATTTTGTCCAGCACCACGGGCATCTTGCTGCAGCCCTGAGGGGGGCGGAGGAAGCGCGGCGCGCACATGGCGAAGGGGAAGTGCGCGCGGGGTGCCGGATGGGCGCGAGCAAGGGAGAACGCGGGGGCCACCTGAACGAGGAGGAGCGGGAGAAGAGGAAGGGCGCGTGGAAGGGGGTGCGAAAGAAGCGCAGGGCTTAGGAGGGGGGACGAGAAGGAACAGAAAAGGCAGCGAGGGGGAAGGCTGCGAGTGCGCGGAGGAGCAGAGAGGAGATAGCTGGGATTCAAATAATTGACAGACGAGGAAGAGAGCTGAGGGACGCGACGCGCGGGGGCCAGGGGGCGACGAGGGATGACGAGGAAGGGCGCGCCACGAGGAATCGGACGAGGAGGGGGGGGGGGGGGGGGGGGCCGAACGACGGGGGGGGGCAAGAGAGAGAGAGAGAGAGAGAGAGAGAGAGAGAGAGAGAGAGAGAGAGAGAGAGAGAGAGAGAGAGAGAGAGAGAGAGAGAGACAGAGAGAGAGAGAGAGAGAGAAAAACAAACAAAAAAAAAAACTCGAGGAGAGGGCCAGGTGGACCAGGGGGGCGAGTCAGCAGAAGAAGCCCAAGGCCCAGGACGAGGGGGGGGGGGGCAGGGAGCGAACCGCAGGAGAAGGAGAAGCACGCGCGAGCACAGAGACGGGTGCTCCTGCCGCAGGTCAGCCCCTCCCCCGCTCCTCTCCTCGTACTCCTCCTCCTCCTCCTCCTCCTCCTCCTCCTCCTCCTCCTCCCCCTTTTCCCCCGCGCCCCCCACCTCCGCCCCCCCCCCCCCTCTCTTCGCCCTCTCGGCCCCGGCGGGTCCCGCCTCGTGATGCGTGACGCTCCCACTCTCCTACTCCTACTCCTCGCCCCTCCTCTAAGCCCTCGCCCTCCTCTCCTGGCGGCGGCGGCGGGGCGGACGCGGCAAGCGGCATGGGCCCCGGCCTTGCCGTCCCCGATGCCCTTCTTGGCGAGTTGCTCCCGCACCTTCATGGCGAGGTTCTTGAGGTCGCTCTTCTTCTCGTGCTTGTGCCCGATGATCTGGCTGTACGCCCAATGCACGACGATGCACATGCGCCCGTGCCGCTTGGCGGCGTCGAGAGCCGATTTGCCTCCAGACTCCAGGGGGGTCCGCGACCCGCGCCGTCGCCCGAACCCCAATGCGCCCCCCGCCCCGCGGCCGCTCGCAAACGGCCAGCCCGCGGCCGAGCGACCGAGTGGCGCGCCTCGCCGACGCACTAACGAGTCGCCAATAACACGACCGCCGGGCGCCGGGGCCAAACCGAGCTCAAGATTCGCGCGATCGGCCCGTGGCCGACAGGGCCAATCGAGCAGCCGAGGAGCCAGCAGTGGGCGAGCAGGCAGCAGAGGCCAGCAGCAGAAGCAAGGGCAGGCAGGGCCAGGAAATCAAAAGGGCCTGCGGACTTCTTCGTCTTCGGGAACGCCGCGGCGAGGCTGGTGAAGATCGCCGCGAGGGACGCCGCCGTCGCGACGAGCTTGCTAGAGTGGAGCTTCGCGGTCATTTCCATCGGCCCCGCCAATGCGGCGACGGGCTTCCGGCGGCGGGCAAGCGGGGACAGGGGGCCCGATGGGGGGAGGCCGCGGAGCGGCGAGGAGGAGGAGGAGGAGGAGGAGGAGGAGGAGGCGGAGGGGAAGAAGGAGGGGGAGGGCGAAGATGGGGGGGGAGGGGGAAGCGGGGAAGCAGCGGAGAAGGACTGCGACGACGGCGACGAGGCGGATGAGGAGGAGGAGCCGCTGACCCTCCGACCTCCGACATCCGTCTCCAATCCTACGACAACCCTCGCCGTCGCCTCCAATCCTGCGACGACCTCCCACCCTCCGACCTCCGACATCCGTCTTTAACCCGCCAGCCCGCCGCCCCCCACCGTCTACCCCTGGAAACCTCCGGACCTCTGCCACTACATGCCTCGACCATCCGACCGTCCGACCCTCCGACCCTCCGAACCCCGACCGACCTCCGACCCTCCGGCCCGAGCCGCCGCCGACCTCCGATGATAAGGCGGCGGGCGCGTGGCGGCGAAGCCGCTGTGTATCCTCCAAGCTCTTGCGGAGGGCCTCGTCGCTGCAGATCTTGGTGGAGTCCACGAGCGACTTGGGAGGGGCCACCCCCATGAGCTCCGTCGCCTTGGCGTTGAGGTGATTGTCCCAGAAGGCCACCGCCTTCGCCCAGAACTCACCGACCAGCTCGACGCACGCCGCGGAGAGCGCGCTCATGTCGCAGATCCAGCCTGACAGGAATGGCGAGGAGAGCGGCGCGGCGCGGGCGCGAGAAAACACAAGTGGATGTAGGAGAGCATAATGCAGGATATGATGGGAAGGAAGACAACGACGAGGAGGGGCCGAAGAGGGCGACTACGACGGAGGCGGACGCAAGGGCCAGGGCGACGAAAGACGATGGAGAACAGCTGAGAAGTGACGGGTCAGAAGCAGGGGAGCAATACAAGTTATACAAGAGCGGGGAGAGTGGAGGCGGGCAGGAGTCGGGGGGGAAAGGGGAAGAGGAAGACAAGGGGGAAAGACCAGGACCTCCTCCGCACCTTCCTCCTCGTCCCCCACTCCGCAAATCCTCAAAAACTCGACGGGCGCGGCCCTGCCAGCGGCAAGGCGCAGCAGGCGGCAGGCTGCCGCCTGCTGCGCCCTGGGGCCCCCGAGCCCTGGGCCCCCCCGATCCCCGACGCCCCGCCCCCCGGGCCTCAGAACGAGGCCGCGGCCGCGGGATGAGGGGGGGCCGGGAGACGGCAGCAGAGGCACCGGCAAGAGCAACAGAGACATGGTCGCGCAGCGGCATCGAAGACGGACGATAAGCAAGCGATGCTTCGACGCCCGGCCAGCCTTCAGAATGAGACTTGGCCCGCTCCGCCCCGACGCCCTTGAACCAAGCCTCGAACGAATCGATATCCTTCTTCGCTGCGATGGCGAGCGCGGCCACCCCTTCGGTCAGCGGAAGGGCCTTGGAGATCACGGGGGAGCCGCCCTCGCCCTCGGCCGCGAATAAGCACGCGTGGGCCATGGCCACGCGGGCATAGCGCGCGAGGAAGTGCATGCGGAAGGTTGTCTTCTCATCCACGACGACGTCGTCCAGCTTCTTGGCGTTGATCGCGACTTGCTCCTTCTTGCCAACGAGGGTGCCGACGGACATCTTGAAGGCCTCCTCCGATAAATCAAGGTCGAAATACTTCCCGACGGCGGCCAGCCCGTCCGTCGCGACCTGAACGCAGCCCATCAAAGTCTCGAACGGCTCGGTGAAGGCGGTGACCAGGCTCTTGTTCACGAGCGGGCCTAAGCGATCCACCGCCCACTTCCTAAGCTCCTCGAGCTGCGCGACCTCGACGGCCGAATCGCCATTGAGGGTCACGATGGGCTCGAGGGCCGGAAATGCCTCGATCAAAGCCGAAATCCTCCGCATATCATGAAGCGGAGGCGTCTCCTTGCCATCGAGGACCGCCGCCAAAACCCCAGACGTCCCTAGCTCAATCCACGAACTCATATCCCTTACAGCTCCAGCGAAGTCTTTCATGCTCGACTCGAAGGCCTGGACCTCCAACGCGCCCAGCAATTCCTCCGAGGGCCCGGCAGCGCGAAAACCCCAAGGCCCAATCAACGCCCGAAATGAAAACGAAACACTGAAGCCCAACGCACAGAAAAATGCAACCAGAAACCGATCGAAGCCGACATCGCGGTTATCTTCGCGCCCTCTCGCCCCGAGCCCCGGGGGCCCCCGCCCGCAAGGGCGCGGCTGCTCTGCCTCGGACCGTGATGCGCGAAGCACGATTATCTTTGCGCCCCAGGGGTGACCAAATTGAATGAGGAAAAGTCCTTCAAGATACCGCCAAGGGTCTCCTCCTCAGACGAAGGATCCTGAGCAGGGAATTGACCGAGCATCAAGGGTTCGCGCTGCTTGAGAAACTCTTTAACCGCGGCCTGCGCGGCCACCTTGGCGGCCGTCGCCCTGCGCTGCACGAAGAGATCGAGATCGGCCGGGAAGGAAACTCGGCCAGCCGCCATGGAGCCCGCCTCGGACGCGATCGCGTTGCTATCAGCCAGCATCTTGAGCTGCTGGGTCATCGGAACGTCCGGCGCGGCGTCGAGCTGGGCGGTCGACCGCTTCACGCTCTCGAACCACCCCACCAAGTCGTCGAACTCCTGGCGGCGCGGGCGGGCGCAGAGGAAGGGGGGGGACGGAGATGGGGGAAGCGATGAAAAGAAAGGCCAGGCATCGGAAGAAGGGGCTGGAGAAGAAAGGGGGTGGAAGAAGATGGAGGAAGAACATCAACCGTCCATGGGGCTCCTCCTCCCACCTGGCCCCTCCCCTCCATCGTCCTTCCTGCCTCTCCTCCCCCTGCTGCCTCCACCCCTGCCTCCTCCCTCTTCGCTCTCTCCTGGAGCCGGGTGTCGAACGCGTCGACGAGGGGCTTCCCCTGCGCCGGGTACTGCATGAGCAAGTTCAAGAGCCTCGAAGTGTCCGCCATGTCCATCTTCGCCTGCTGGAGGCTCGCGCGGACCTTCTGATCGAAGGACTTCGCCGGCAATGTGAACGCCAATGACATGGAGCGCAATTCCTGCGAGAGGTCGTGGTCCAACTGGGGGGCGGGGGGCCCCGTCGGCAACGCGTCGAGGCACTCGATCTCCTTGGAAATGACGTGCTTAACCTCCTCGAGCGGGGCTCTGGAGCGGAGCGCGGCGGCGATCAACTGCTTGATGTAAGTGGACTGCTTGTCCTTAACGTCGCAGAGTGACCCGAAAGACTCCTGCAGCGACCTCGCCGACAACTCAGTGGCCCAGACAGCGGGGGGCGTCGAGGACCACATGGACGCCTGGGTCGGGCGAGCGCTGCAACGAGAAAGACGAGAAGACGAGGCCGCGAGAGGGGGGGGGGGAGCGGGGGGCAGGGGGGGGGAGGCAGCGGGAGAGGAGATGGGGAGGTGCGAAGGCGAACGGGCGAGGACGGTTCGAAGTGGCCCTGCCCAGTGATGCCTTGAGAGTCAGACGCATGTCCCACAACAGCTCGCACGTGAAAGGCTGCGCTGGGTCGGCCCTGGCGAACTCCTGAAGGCTGCGGAAGCCCGAGTCCCACTCGGCGTACGACTTATCGGAAGAACCGCTCTCGATGCGCTTGCGGTGCAACTTGATGCCCTGCTCAATGATCATGAGGCGCTTGGTCGCCAACGAGTACTTAGTCTGATCGGCCTCAGCCTTTGCCGTCTTGCCCTTGGACTGGCAAATGGCGATCCAACGCTGGACGAGACGGCGAGTCACGTCGCTGTGCTTGTTGAACATGCGGGACGTCGCATCGCAGCCCATGAACTCTCGCCACATGTCCTTCTCCAGCACGAGCACGTCCTTCTTCGGGCGGCCGCGACCGCGACGCTGGCCGCCCTCACCTTCCTGACCCTCCTCGGCGCTCTCGTCGTCGCCCTCCGGCGGGTCGTCGCCGTCGCCGCCTCCGGTGCCTTCCTCGGCTCCTTCCTGGAGCTGACAGCCGCGCCTCTGGCCGCGACCGCCTCCCCTGGGCTGGCCTCCGCCGCCTCCGCCGCCGCCTCTGGACCTCGCCGCAGTTTTGATCCTCTTGCCTGGCGCCTGGGGCGAATCGAAAGGGACTGCAAGCGGGCGACCGAGGGGCGATAATGGGGGGGGGCCCGGGAAGGCTCCTGGAACATGAGCGGGCTAAACAACCTACCCAACCAAGGATACATGCACGCGCCACCGATGGCGCAATGGCAAAACGCCTGAACGAAATTCCGCTGCCTCGCCCAGAATCCAGGAGGAGGAGGAGGAGGAGGAGGAGGAGGAGGAGGAACCCAGGGGCGCGTCGCTGGGGCCCCAGGGTCGAGCGCGAGCGGAGGGCGCCAATGGGCCCACCGCGTAGCTCGTGCCAACTGCACTGCGCAGAGCCCAGAGGCCCAGAGCCCAGACATGGAGCGCTCCACGCATCTCCAGGAGGGGAGGCACAGTGGGGCGGGAATGGATACGATTGGACCCCAAAGCTCCTCAATGTCGCTATCCAAAGAGGCGTCGTCATCAGTGTCGGCCAGCCGGCCGAAGCTCCCTGCAGCCCCAGAAAGCCTCACTATCTTCCTCTCGCCCTGCTGCTTCTTCCCGGCACGGCGCTTCTTCTGCTGGGCGGCCTTCTTCTCGCGTTCCTTCTCCTTCGCGGCCTCCTCGGCGGTCAGCTCGCACTCAGCCAAGATGCTCGCCAGTGCGCCCTGGCATGCCACGCGCTGCGCCTCGGCGTCCGCCGTGGTCAAGTCCTCGAACTTCTGCTCCGCGAGCTCCTCGTCGCCGTCGGTGCTCCCGACGTCCTCGTCCTTCACGAGCTCGCGTCTCATGCCCTGGCGGTTCTCGATCTTCCACGGAATGTCCCCGCTGTCTGAAGGCACCTCTACTCCTTTCACCCCCTCTATGACGACGATGACGCGCCCCAACTTCTTGTTTTTCCTGGGGTCCCCAAACTTGGCCCTGCACCGCTTGATGGGCCAAAAATCGTTGTCGGGCCTCCTCAAGCAGGAATCCGCGTACCGCCTGCTCTGCACTGCGACCTTCTTGACCCCGCCTACGGGGGCGAGTCGGGCAGAGGCGACGGGGCGAGAGGAGCCGGCCGGGGAGGAAGATGGATAATAGAAAGGTGCGTCGGTTAAGAAAAGAGAAACCCAGGGAATAAAGGACGAAGAAATAAAGGAAGGGATAAGCGAATCTATTAAAAGAATACAGGAAAGGATAAAGGAAGGAAGAACGCAAGGGGGAATTACGACACATGACATGTTTGACAACTGACAACACGAGCGAGGCCAAAATGCCTGAGCGCTTTCCGCTGGAGCCAGTGCTGCGCTTGGTGAGGAGCCTCTTCTTGGCCCTGTCGATGACGATGTTCTTCTTCTCCTTGTGCGCGTCGAGCAAGCTGGTGTCCCTGCCCAAATCGCTGATGTATTTGCTGCGGTCGCGATCTGCCCGAGTGTGCGAGATGTCGTTTCTCCAAGCGGTGTCGCATGCCCAGCAGCCCAAGCCGTCGGCGCACGACACGGTGAAATCCCCTGGATCGTAGGCCCAGCGGACGCTAGGCCTATTGTCCGGGTCGACTGGGTCCATGCTAATCCCCTGCACCGCGCCGCACAGGAAGGCACACGGCTTCCCCTTGCGGCGAGCTGCAGGGGGGGGGGGCCAACAGCAGGACAGCAGGAGGAGGGCGAGGGAAGGAGCTAGGGGGCGGGGAGGAGTAGCGGATGGAGGCGACGGAGGCGAGGAGGACGAGGAAGAGGAGGAGGATGACACATTGGAATAGGAGCGCGACGAGAAGGCGGAGCAGCAGAACGAGGAAGAGGAGCGGAGAGGACGAGGGGCCGAGGGGGCAAGATGGGGGGGAGGAGGGGGTCCTTCTGGCACTGAGTCTGACTGTGCTCCACGAGCGTCTCCCCCTTGGACTCCCCCTTGGACTCCTCATTCCTACCGGCGTTCTTCGCCAGTCGCTCCTCAAGCTTGACCTCAGGAAGGTCGCTCTTCCTGTCCGCAGCGACCAACTGCCCCTCGGTGGCGGTGATCTGCTCGCTCTGCGCCTGCGTCTGCTTCGCGCCCGACTTCTTCCTGCCCTTCTTCGGCATGATGGCCGCAGCGCGGGTGGCGAACTAAGCCAAATTCGCACGCCCATGCACCCACCTCCTCCTCCGCTCCTCCTCAGCGCACCCCCTCCTCCACCGCGTCGCTCCCCCCCCCCCCGCGGCGCCCAGGGCCCAGGGCCAGAAGCGGCCCCCGGACGCCTGTGACCTGGGAGGGGCCCCCCGCCGCGGCAATTCCCTCATCCGCCCCTCGAACTGCTCTGCGGTGCTCGCCCGCCGCTGGCCGCTGCGCCCCAGAGCTCGGGCAACGTTGCAAGCCTCCGTCGTCCTCATCATCGCCCTCTCTCGCTGCCCCGACCCCATCATCTCTCTGCTGCATGGCCCCCGTCGCCCTTCCCCCCATCCTCCTCCTGGCAACTTCCCCCTGGCAACCTCCTCCTGGCAACCTGAAGGGCCGATCTGTTCACGACGACCGTCGCTGCTGAATCGACGTCGAAGTCCACGGGCCCTGGGACTAGCTCCGACTGGGGAGAACGCAATACCCCGCAAGCGCGGATAAGAGCGATGGGGGGGGAGGCGGGCGACGCGGGCGTCGAGCAGGCGGCGACCTCCCCACGAGGGCCCCAGGACGGTCTTAAGAAGAAGGCCCCAAGAGGGGCCCGGTAAGGCCCCGAGAACGACCGCCCGCAACGCGCCCGCGCCGCGACCGCGCCTCCCCCCCTCTCCTCCTCTCCCCCCCCCTCCCCCCCTCCCCCTCCTCTTGGGAACTTCTAGGGCTTCTCGCGGGGCCCGCTTGGAGCCGCCCCGGGCCCCCCCTGGGCCCCCCCTACGCCCGCTGAGGTCACTTAAGCCAAGAGGGCCCCAAGACGGCTCCAAGAGGGCCCTGCGGCATGCAGAATCCTCGCCGCGGATCCCCGCTTCAGTCTGACACTGCATCATCTGGACCAGCGCCACCGGGCAACATTCCCGAGGGCCTGTGTTTGCGAGAGAACGGGGGCGGAGCCATGGGCAATGCGGAAGCGGCGAGCCGCGCGGGCGCGGCCTGTCTGTTTCTCCCATGGCCTTCTCTCCCTCAGTATCTGAAGCATGTGCTGGGCCGAGAGCAAGATCGCGACCTGCCCTTGGCGAAAGCAGCCTGGCCCCACGCGCGATGCGGCGCGCCGCGACGGCGAGCGAGATGGGGCCGCCCCTTATGAACGGCCCAGACGGTCGGCCACCCGACTCCCGACCGGCGGACGCTTCCTGGTCCTGGAGGCTCTCCATGGGTCTCACGACTGTCAGATATCTTATGATAGTATTGTAAGATAGTATGGTAAGAACGTCCTTCCTGGAGACTCTCTCCGTGGACCTCATGATGACAGTGGCACGAGCAAGTCAAGGCTAGCCCAGCCGAGCACGCAAAAAATTGCAAACCTACCGAGAGATCGGAATGGAAAGCAACGCGCGGCCCCAGCCCCCCCCGGGGGGGGGCCCCCCCAGGCCATCTTGAGCACGCGCTCATGTTCTTCATCCCTCTCCCTCCCCGCCATCCATTCACCCCTTGTCCCCCCCTTCATCCCGCCGCTACTGGGCCGCTACCCCCGGGCCGCCCGGGCCCCCGAGCTTCGGATCGACGGGGTCGGGGCTAGATCCGAATGTCAATCGCGCATGTCTTATCTACGCATGTTCTACCTCAACAGGGAAGGGGCAATGTTCGTTTTCAAGGGCGGGCCGTCGCATTCGGATTCCAGGCGCGGTAGCTCCGAGGAAGTGCGCAGCGGGAAGCCGACGAAGGGCAGGGCGGCGGGCGGCGGGCGGCAGGCGCGCTGGCTCTTCAAAACGAGGACCCAACGCAGGATGGCTTTGGAAAAACTGAAACGAAACAGAAGCCCCAACTTGACCCTAACCTGACTAAACAGCACTGTGCTCGGCCTGAAACCGATGACGGCGACGGCGACGCCGACGGCGACGAGGCCGCTAAATGCGACGACGACGGCCGACGGCCGCACCGAAAGAGACGTCGCCAATGATGGCGAGCTGCGAGCCCAGGCAGGCACCAGGCCCTCAGGCGCTGCCTACTGCCTCTCGCCTAGCGCATGTCCTCGGGGCGGGGTCGGGCAATCGGGGACGGGCGGCGATTCGGCGACGTAGGTAGCGCGAGCAAGCTGATGCCAAGATGCGGCGAGAGAAACAAATTGCTTTCTGCAGAGAATGCGAAAGCCTGAAGACGGCACGACTAAACGACCCCCCAGAGGCCGCCGTCAAGGGCCCCCCAACCCTCTGGCCCTCTGGGAGATCCTTGGGAAACCCCTGCCTTAGCTAAAACCGTTGGCCGAAACCTGACTGCTGGCGCTGAAGACTGCCGATGGGGGTCGGCCTGAGACGTCTCGGCAGAGACCCCCCCCAAATCGGCGACTCCTCGAAATCGTCGATGTCGCTGGCCTCCACCGCGCTCTCCGACTCCGCTTGCTCCTCGCCGCCCACGTCTGCCTCGGCGGACCGGCGCGCGAGCCGCCGACCGAGGGCCGAGGTTCCGCTGCCCTCGCTTGGTCGGTTGGTCGGGCGGGGGCGCCGCGGCATCGGGAGGACGATCCGGCCGACCTCGCTAGGGCGACGAAATCTATACATATCCACTGCTCCCTGGCCAGGCCCATCCTCAACCCCGCAGCGGTGTATACGCCGCGCCCTCCTGGCTTGGCCAGGAGGGCGCATACACAGCTCCTGGGTTCATGATGGGCATGGTCAGGGAGCAGTGGATATGTATAGATTTAGTCGCCCGACTCGCAGCGTCGTCGGCCTTCGCAACCGACTGCACAACGACGCTGCGAACCAAGCCGTCGGACACTAGTCGCCCGAGCACGAATGCCGAACGCCGACGAATCTAGCGCCGAATTCCGAGCGAAACAAAACAACAATGGCTTGCCATCTTGCCCTCGCCCTACCCCCCCTCGGCCCTACATGCTAACTGCCGAGGCCCAGGCCGCGCCCATGCTATCGTCGTCATCCTCGCCGTAGACCTGCATGGCGGAGTCCGGGTCCTGGGAGTCCACCTCGACGACGCCGTGGTCCTGGGCCAACTCCGGCTTCGAGACTAAGAGAATTGCCTTGGCCACAGGCGCGTGGATCGCGATCGCGAAGTTCAACGGCAACAACACGTACGCGCAGAACATGTTGCCGGCCAAGTCCACGCGCAAATCCTCCTTGAAGCTCTCCTGGGGGACGGTGGATTGCAGGTCGTGCGAGAAACCCTGGATCGCAAGCGACTCTGCGCCCGATCCACCGCCCTCCGCTTCGGAAGGCCCCGCTGCCTCCCCCATGGAAGCACCCCAATAAATGGGCGGCCCAACCCTGCCGCGCGGCCCGCCGGCCGACCGCACAATACATGTATAGTGTATAGCGCCCTGACACGCATACAGTGTATAGTGCATAGCGCATAGTTGATGCGCATGGTGTATAGCATGGCACGCACCACGCATAAGATTGCGCATCGCGCATGCAGTATATGTGCTGCACAAACACCAGAATGCACGAGAATCCTGACCTGCCGCGGGCCGCCGACGGCCACGGCCGCCACCCGCCGCAAGCATGAGAACGGAGAACGTGCGAGGCCTCTTCCTCCTCCTCCTCCTCCTCCTCCTCCTCCTCCTCCTCCTCCTCTGTCGCGCGAGCCCACTCCGTGGCGTCGCAGCGCGAGCAACCGTGGGCGAGCGAGGCGCAAAGTCGGAGCCGACCCTCATCACCCTTAGCAGCCCCCATTCCACTTTGACCTCCTGACCCCCTCGGACTACCTGACTCCTTGCTCCATGGGCCCCCTCGCCTCCCGCTCCTCACCCACCCTATTCCCCCCCGCCTCCGCCCCCCCTCCCTGCCCCCTGTCGCAACAGAAGGCGATGGCCTGATGGATAGCATCCGGTCGATTACCTTGCCGGCAACCTGATCGCGAGCGGCGGGGCCGGGCTACCGCTGCCACTGCCCCCCCCCCCCTCGCCCCGATCCCCGCCCCCTTGGCCCGGCCCGGGGCCCCCGGCCGCGCCCCGAGCTCCACCGCCACTCCGAACTCAGACAGCCCTCGGCCTCCAGCCTCCGAAGCCCGAAGGTCCGCTGCCCCCCCCCCCCGCCTGATGGGTTGCGGGCTGCGCATTCCCGCCAGCCCAAAACGCAATCGATCGCATCGCAATCGAGTCAATCGAGAGCCTCTCTCCCGCCCCGCCGCCCGCCCGCCCAGCCGCCGGCGCCGCCGGCCGCGAAACTAACAACCTGGCTGTTCTCCTGCTCCTCGAACTTGCCTCGGACCCAGACGTTGGCCGTGGACACAAGCGTCGGCAACTCCCCGTCCGTCATGTTGCCCCATTTCAAAGTCATATTGACATCAACTGCCTGGATTGTTGCGGCCGACTCGGCAGGGCCCTTCACGTGCTCCCAGAACCACAAACACTCGCGCTGGCGCGTTGTGAGGAAGGGCGTCTTCTCAAGGAATTCGGGCGTCAATTCTGCGGGCCACGTCAGAGCGGGATTGCAATTGGCATAACATTCCATGTGGTCCACTTCGTACTTGGGATGTTTGAGTGCCCCGGCCTCGGCAGCAGCCTTGGCCTTGGCGGTCTCGGGGGCCTTCGCCTTGATCGGCTTGCGGCCCGCGTTGGCGGCAATGACCCGGGGGTGATCGTCAGGCAAGATGAAGCGCGAGAGCGGGATACCTGGCGGGCAAGGGGGGGCGGCGGAGACGAGCGGGGCGCTGAGAGAAAGAGAGAGAGAAAGAGAAAGAGAAAAAGCAAGAGAACAAGAGAGAGGGAGAGAGGGACCGAGAGGGAGGAAGAGAGAGAGAGAGAGAGAGGGGGAGAGAGAGGGAGAGAGAGAGATGTAGGGAGAGAGAGAGAGAGAGAGAGAGAGAGAAAGAAAGAAAGATAGAGAGAGATCAATAATAAAGAGAGGGAACAGAGAGAGGAAAGCGAGAGAAAAAGAGGAGCAAAGCGAGAGAGAGAGAGAAAGAAAGAGAACACAAAGATATATATATATATATAGAGAGAGAGACAGAGAAATAAATAAAGAAAGAAAGAAGGAACGAG